AAATATTTTATTAAATATAATAAATGTATTTTAATTGTAATAAATTAAATGTGTTGGGTATTGAATCCAGGGCCTAATACATGCTAAGTAGACTGTATCTCAAGCCCAGGATTAATTTTTAAAAACTTTTTTAATATGACTGTATATTTGTGTATCTGTGTTTATATGCATGTGTGGAGGTCAGAGGATAATTTGGGAGAGACTTTCACCATTTGAGAGAGATCCATTTTGAGGATCTCTCAAATAATCCCATTAATTTGCTATTAGAAATGATGTTGGTTTAAATTCTTTCAGTAAGATTTGTGAACTGGTATATTAGAAACTATCATGTGAACCAAAAGTATGACATAAATATTGTTTTGTTGCATATTATACTTATTCTTGTACTTATTCTATGTATGTCCCATTATTCCATCTAGATAGTGAACATCTCTGAATGAATGGAGTGGGAGTCTTCAAGCTATCTTAGTAAAGTACATCTGCTGTCATCACCTCTTTGAGAATAAATACCATGGCCATTTGATTCTGTCTTCTTCAACTTGCCACTTTTGATGGTCCAACAGTTTTAAGGGGTGTTCATTCATCAGTGAAAGGTTTAAATTTTGGAGGTGTTGGGCTTGAATTCATGAACTAAACCTAAGTATTATCATTTTCTTCCAAAAAAACTAGACTACACTGTCATGTCTTGATGAAAAATTTTAAAGCATCTTTGGTTGACTATGTATTACAAGATAGTAGACAGACTTCCTCTGACACACAAACCACATACCTTCTTTCCCCTGAAACAAGTGAACAAAGGTAATAATCATGAAATCTGTTCACTTACTGCATCAGAAAGGCTTTATTTTACTATTTTGAATTATAAATGTACTTAGGTTGTCATAGATACCTCCAGGTGATACTATTAAGTTAACAACATTCAATAAACCCAATGAAGCCATAAAATCTAGCAGCATTGTAAGATTGTTATGAAAGTGCATGTTTTAGGGCATAAAAGTCAATCTTTAAACCCAAGGGAAAATCTGTTTTTCCTAGCACTTCATTATGTAAGTTTTGAGACATGCAGAGGAAAATCTTATTGACTTTTACACCCAAGTGCCTACAACCTAGATTATATAATTAACATTTTGTTGTGGGATGTTGTTCTGTATGCTGTGAATGTGTTGCTCTAATTGGTTGATAAATAAAATGCTGCTTGGCCAGTAGCCAGAAAGGAAGTATAGGTGGGACAAGCAGAGGAGGAAAATTCTGGGAACAGGAAGACTGAGTCAGGAGTCACCAACCAGACACAGAGGAAGCAAGATGTCAAGGCAGAACTGAGAAAAGGTACTAAGCCATGTGGCTAAACATAGATACGAATTATGAGTTAATTTAAATGTAAGAGCTAGTTAGTAATAAGCCTGAGCCAATGGCCATACAGTTTGTAATTAACATAAGCTTCTGTGTGTTTATTTGGGTCTGAGCAGATGCAGACTGGGTGGGACACAGGAAAACTTCCAACTACAATTGGCACCTCACCATTGGGCATTGATCCACATAGACCTAAGAAAGCTTAAAGATTCTGAACACATAGAAATGGAGCCACACTGGGCTTCCTAGTCTCACAGTCTCATGCTAGCAGCAGCGCAGACTCATCTCCTGACAGCTGCCTGTGAGATGGAGCTGGCTGCCAGCCACCATGAGCTAAGTGGTATGGCTGCAGATTCCTGCAAAAGCTGAGGTGGGCAGAGTCAACAGCCAAGGCTGTTGCTTCTGTTCTAACCACTCTGAAGTTTAAAGCAATAGATTCACAATAAAATAGATACAGATGAAATAAACCTCTAAACAGTCTACAATGTGTATAAAAATATACATAGGCTTGGAAGAGAAAGGAAAAGGAATATAGACAGTTATATAAAGAAATAGAAAGTTTTAAAAAATAAAATCTTTAAAGAGAAAGTAAAAGTAATATAAAAAATAAGCCACATAAAGATGGATATTACACAGAGAATCTGGATTAGGTTGTCTTTGGGAGTTTTAACTGCAGAAAGACATTTGATTGTAAAAGCTACTGCGTTAAATCAATATGTATATTTTAAAGTTATCTTGATTTCAAAATTTATGTCTAAGGATATATTGCTTTGGAAAAGAGGTTCTGCTTTTGTTTCCGCAGAAGATGAGAACCTATGGATTGCTTCCAGGCTAATATGGTTTGATCAAGGAAGACCCCCTGAGAGGTCTCCAGATGATCCAACATCCAGAACAGCTTCAAGGCAACTATTCCAGTCAGGACTTGACTATAATTCTTAATTCTCTTAGGAGCCCCATAAGAATACAGCACCCTCTATCAGCAGGAAGTAGCCTAGAACACTATACCCACATTCCCAAAAAATGGATTATGGATATTTGTATTTGTTTAGAGATTGCTTACAAATTGTTATTGGTCATAGTCAATATCTTTCTAAAGAAAAAAGGAGGAGAGGATATAGATATGATAGGATAAAAAGGGTAGATTATTGAATCTACTTTTGAAGAGTAACAACTTATTTGAAATATTTTACAATGCTGTGGATTTTAGTTTATTCATACAAATTTAAAGTTAATTTTGTTATACTGTATTTATATTTCTACTCTTGTTTAAGGTATTATATTTGTGCAGCTCATTTGAAATTTTAATGTATAATTAAGAAATACAGATTAATAATTACTTATCTATGGTAGTCAAACTTATAGTCATGCTAGTTAAGTTTTCTAGGTATACATAGCTATAATTCAATTAGGTAGATAATCTTCAAACACTTTAAAGACCTACAGAATATGGCATTTAAAATGTTTTAAAAACTTAGACTTTTCTGGACATTGAGACATGTCTGCTCCTGGCAGCACCAATTTATTTCAAAGGAAAAGATGGGCATCAGAGACACTCCATGTAGAGTTCATCTTCTTCTTGGCAGAAATAGCCATTTGGGCAAGAAACTGTTCTTGCCTGGACTGCTGATAATATGTTATATAAACTGGACATGTAGGACCCATAGGAAGGTGACCACTGAACTTTGCAAGGCAAGATGGTCCTTTGTGTTCCTGCTTCACAAAAGAAACTGTCAGACATTCTACAGAACACAAAGAGGAGCAACTGAGAGACTCTAGAACTATAAGCTGAAGATGGATGCCCCAATATTGCAGAGAAATATTGGGTGACTATCCAGGCAGCCAGCTGTCTCTGTCATTCTAGATTTTTAGAAGTTGCTTACAGTGCCCTTCCTGTTTACTTAGGTAATTTTATATCCTTCTGGGGTCTTTGATGTAGTTGAAGACTAGATAGTTTTAATTTTCCTTGGTTATGATAAAAGATAAATTAGATATGAAACTTTAGATTCATAAATATAGGGTAGATAGAATATTTTCTTTAATTTTGCCAAATACAAATAGACTAGATATTATAACTGTAATTCTTGCTTGATAACTGTTTATTACATGTAATTTTACTAGTTTAAAGTTAAAACCTCCCTTTTTGATTAAACAGAAAAGGGGAAGTGCTGTGGGATGGCGTTTTGTGTGCTATGAATGTGTTGCACTGATTGGTTGATAAATAAAACTCTGATTGGCCAGTAGCCAGACAGGAAGTATAGGTGGGACAAGCAGACAAGGAGAATTCTGGGAAGAAGAAGGCTGAGTCAGGAATCGCCAGCCAGACACAGAGGAAGCAAGATGTCAAGGCAGAACTGAGAAAAGGTACCAGGCCATGTGGCTAAACATAGATATGAATTATGGGTTAATTTAAATGTAAGAGCTAGTTAGTAATAAGCCTGAGCCAATGGCCATACAGTTTGTAATTAATATAAGCTTCTGTGTGTTTATTGGGGTTTGAGTGGATGTGGATCAGGTGGGACACAGGAAAACTTCCAACTATAACATTTTGTTTCATGTATCTTTCCATCTCTCCATCCATCAAATCAGTCTCAGTCTCTCTCTTTCCATTTCTCTCCATCTATGTATGTGGCTCTCTCTGTGTGTATGTATGCTTCAAAGTAAATCATAGGCACCAATACTTTTTCTTTCCATTAATATCTATTTATAATATTACCTAGAGAGAAAAATTTGAGTCACTAGTTAAGGATGTGTCCCCAGAGTAGGCTTCGGAATACTTAAATAAGACATTTGCCAACCTCTGGGCATGTTTGAATTTAGCCATGGCCTATATGGGCTTATTAGGATAAAGAAATAGATAATTTGTTGTGGTCTTCCAAAGAAATTCTAAATGACCAGCAACTCTGTGCTGTACACATACCCAACTTTATTCATCTTCACGTTCCCGCCTTCCCTCTCTCCCTCCCTCCGTTCCTCTTTCCTCTACCACCTCTCAGCCTTATTGTAGCCCAGGCTCATCTGTAACTCACTGTGTAGCCCAAGCTGGCCTTGAACGCTTGGCAATCATTCTGCCCCAGCCTCTAGACGCTAGAGTCTAGAGAGTATAGAGATTATAGGAGTGAGCCTGCACATTCTTTTTTTACTAGGGTGCTTTGTGGCATCAATTTTATGTGGAACATTAACACACACACACACACACACACACACACACACACACACACACACACACACACACACACACACAGCCTTACCCTTTAGTCCTCTTTCACAGCAGAATGACAAAGTAGGTATCTTCTCTATTTTATTAGTGAGGGGAAGAGTTCAGAATATAAGGGCTTTATCTACAGCTGCAGAGCTAGTGTGTGTCAAGAAGAAAAACTAAACATTTTTCTATGGCTCTAGAGTGTGAACTACTTCCCATTGTCTTGTTTTCTTTGCCTTGGTAGCTTTCAATGTCACTTGATTCCCAATGGTCTACTGGAGAGCTTGTAGAAGACTGACTCCTTAGAACCGATCCTGAGAGTGACTGATTTGGAGAGATTTAGAGTAGCTGGGTGAGGGTTTGAGAATCAGGCTAAGTGAAAACAGGATGACTGGGAACGGACAGAGTTCTGCCAGTCACTCATTTCTATGCCTCATTCATTTATTTATAGGTGTTTTGAAGTCTTCTGCCTCTACTGTCAGTCCAACCAGAATGAAGAACCTTATGTGAGCATCACTAAGAAACGGCAGATGCCCAAAGATGGCCTCTCTGAGGAGGTTGAGAAGGAGGTGGGCCAGGCAGAAGGCAAGATGTTTACCCACCGTTCTGCCTTCAGTCGGGCATCAGTGATCCAGGCTTTCCTAGGCTCTGCTCCACAACTGACCCTACAGCTGTATATTACCGTCTTACAGCAGAGCATCACTACTGGAAGAGGTATGTATGCCCGCTTTTTAAAAAATCTCTGCTTACCTTGGAGGTTCAAATTAAGAAGCAAAACAATTTTTATTCAGGTGAAATCCATCTATGTGTTCATTTGTTCTGAATCTATGTTCTGTTTGCTAACCTAAAATCCCAGGGAATTAAAATGATAACACTTTTAGGGGGGCGTGGGGGTGTGTGTCTTATGAATTTGTATTTTGGCCAGGGCTCAAAAGGAAAAGTTCACCTGTACTCTAGTGTGAACCAGCTGAGGTGGCTCAAATATGTGAGAGCTAGAATTCATTGAAGTCTCATTTACTGACATGTTCTTGGAGTCTCACCTCTTTTCCATGTGGGGGGAGTTTGGGCTTCCTTACAGCCTGGTACTGCTTCCAAGTGTGAAACTGTCATCTTTTCTGACCTGGTCTTAGGAATCATGGAGCCAGCTACATGATAACTGGAGGTTTCTTTTTTTTTAATGCAGTCTAATTTGTAGAACAAATTCAATGGTTTTAGTATATTTACAGTGATAACTGTTACCTATCATTTTAGATTCCAAAATTTAGAACATAGACAAACCTACACATTATCAGTCATTATTTTCCTTGCTCTAGCCCTTAGCAACCATGAATCTTCTTGTGGTTGCTATGGATTTGTCTATTGTGCCTATTTCATATAAATAATGTTATGTACTATTAGAAAGTTTTTGTATAGTTAACAAATAACAGATCCTGTCCCTGTGAGCTTTCATCTTGGGTGAGGTGGCCATCCTTTGACTCCCTCAGTTTAGTCATTTTTCAGCAGAAGCTTCATCAAGTCACTGGCATCTTGGAGGATATGTTGGTCTCAAACCCAGGTTAGAATTCTAAGATTATACTGCTCTGGGAAGGTCCAGACAGCTTAGCATTTGCCTTGCCCAGGCTTGAGAGTACTCTTCTCTATTGTACTAAATAGGAGATAAAATTGGCTGTAATAAAGACTGTTCCATGAACACTTATTTTATGCCAGGTACTGTGATGAACCTCATAGCATTTGTTTCTCATGGTGTCCTGTGAGGTAGATGATGTTCTTTTCATCTTCGTGAAGAGAGAAATCACCTACAGTCTACTAGAGGAACCATGCGCTAAGATTAGTGTGGTTTCATTCATGGTTGCAATGAGGATTTATTGAGTATGCTCTGTGTTCTAGTCTCTGTGTTTGTCTCTGTGGATAAAGGGTTAATGAAGTAGACAGCTCCTGTTACCTTGGAAGAAAATGACAGACATGAAATAAATGATTAATCATGTATTTATTTTACTTCTGATAAAGTATGCAAAGTAAAAGTTAGGGAGACTGTGTGGATTCTAACCAAGCTTGGAAATGAGTCAAAGTTTTGCAGAACTTAGATTTATATTTAAAAATGTCCAATGAGGCAGAGAAGCTAGATGAAGGAAAAACAATATAGAGCATCTTGGGATTTCAAGTGTTAATAATCCACATGCAGTGGGAAGAAGCCACTGTTGAGTTTTAAGCAATACAGTGTCATAAGCAGATTTAGTATTAGAAAATGAGTACTCTGGGAAATGAATTAGAAAATAGTAAGGGAAGGAATAAGTAAGTAAGTGGGTTGCTACAGTTTCTGAGGTGACAGTGATAATGGATTCTTGGAACAGCATTAAAGATATGGGAAAGGAATGACTGATGATTAAGTAGCTATGACGGCGAAGCAAAGGAGATGCTAAGAGAGTTTCCAGGCCCCTGCCACAGTTGTAGTCACAGAAGCTCTCTGGACAAGGAGCAGGATTCTGTGGTATGTTTTTTTATTTAAGATTTAGAATTTTCACAAAATGAAATATAAAGATTCTATGTAGATCGTTAGAGAAAAAGAAGATGTTAAAACTACCTCAAAAGATAGACCGAAGAACAGACCTGGGAATATAAGAAGGAATATTGAAATGGGTGTGTGAAGGGAGATAAATCTGTTTTCAATGGATGTCAGAAGGTAGGACTAGCGATGTGGGTCAGTGAAGAGTGCTTACCTAGCATGCACATGGCCTTCAGTTCAGTTCTCAGTACCATAGGAAGAGAAAGACAAAAGAACAGAAGAAACATAAAGGGGACTAGGAATTTGTCCTAGCTCAGTTGGGAGAGGGTTTACTTAGCATGCGTGAAGCCCTGAGTTTAGTCCCCAGAACCACACAGGCCAAGTGTGGTGGTGCACACTTATATTACAACACTTGGGACAGGAAGGTAAGTCTAAGATACCTTGGTGCCAGCCTGTCTCAAAAAGGGGTGGGGGTCTTGATTGTGACTTAGTTGCTAGACTGCTTGCCCAACATGCCTGAAGCTCTGGGTTTGATCTCCTGCACTAGCACAGAATAAACTAGGTATGGTGGTGACACTTGCCTATAATTCAGCATTTGGGAGTAGAGGCAGGTCATCCATGTCTCTATAAGAATCTGAGACCAGACTGGGGCATCAGGCCTCGTAATACCTAAAAGCTACTGTGTAAAGGACTGGGAGGTATGAGAACTGTAAGGACATTTGAATCTGATTTCCAGGAAGCAGTTTCCATAGGAATAGTATAGGCAGTGATCATGGTGGGATGCTAATAATTTCATAATGTTGCAAATAAACACCAAATTTTATAATTGGCTAAGATGGTAAATTTTGTTATGTAAACTTTATCTTAAAAGAAAATAAAACAAAATCAGAAAATTGTCAGCCATTATTGTTCACAATGGAGAATAACATCAACTGTAAAGGGATAGGAAAAAAAACAGCACACAAAACTAGAAATCGGGAAAACAAAATAGTAAAAACAGAGTTAAAAAACAGGGCTGGCCGGGCGGTGGTGGCGCACGCCTTTAATCCCAGCACTCGGGAGGCAGAGCCAGGCGGATCTCTGTGAGTTCGAGGCCAGCCTGGGCTAC